TCAGTGATAGAAAGATAACATACATTTGCCCAAAGATTTTTTTTACCTCCTGTTCTGACATAGTGCCTTGGTTTTAAGTTCTAAGGTATTCTGAGACACCAGAATTTTTTTGCCTTATCCCTATCTTACTCTATTTTCTAGAATAAGATGACACCAAGTGAGATTCTTGGACTACCTCATTACTTTATATAATTTCTGCATACTATTTTTTACTGAATATGTAGAATCAGTTGCTGATGTTGAAGATTTTTCAGTCATCTGTCCTTTGCATCAAATTTCACCCCCAGTGGAATCTGATTCATTAGCTAAGAGATTATTAGGAGATAAGCAGAGATGCTTAAAGGTTTGCAAGGGCAGCAAAGTACTCCTTACCTACACTGAACAGGTTATGCCCAGCCATAACCAAAGAACAGATTTCAGAGCAAAACAAAGATTGATGCATGAAAGCAAAAGTGTGAATCATGAATTTTGAGGTCTTACATGATTGGTTGTAAAAGTATCATCAGTATTCCAAGTGGAGTATTAGAAAAGGCATATTACAGGGTGATCCACAGTTGTGAGCTTCAGGGTCAGTTATGAGGGGCAGGTGAGTAAGTAGTTCAAGTGAAAAAAAGTGGTGGGTTGAGGGACTAGGAAGGTGTGAAAGAAGAAAAAAGCAGTTCCAAGGGAGCACAAAATAAATAATTCCTGGGTGACTATAAGCACAGAGTAGGACAATTGGATTGGGGTGCTAAAGTGATATGCAGGGTAGGTCACTGGAGTTGAGAATCAAAAATTAGGATGCAATGAGTTTGATGACTCAGTCTTGCTGATGTTGGCTTCATGCAAAGGGTAGTATTCATTTCATTTCCATTCAATAAATAGTTACAAAGTCACCTGTGTGTTGCAGGGACTATGCTTGACATATTTGATCAGGATAAAGACGGTAATAGGAGATGGGGTCATGAAGAACAATATAAATATTTGGGCTTTTCAATTTCCAAGTTCAGCTTTATGGTTGATGCTAATTTCCACTGTGATCTTAGCTGTGCGTGAGCAGTTCTTTTTTTTCTTCTTTTCTTTTTTACTGCCAAGTCCTCTCAAGAGTACCCCAAAATACTAGTTACTTGAACTAACTGAAGGGACTAGTTAAGTCCTTAACATCCTTCAGATCGAAGTCTTCCTCTCTCTTTTTCATCAGCTTGAGTTCCTGGCTGTTCCTTTATTATGCACCAAGGCTAACAGATTACACAGCCACCAGGCCATCCTTGCCTGGCCTCTGTTGCGTAGGAAAGTGTTACCTGTTCCTGGGTCTGTAATTCCCACCTATGTACAAGAGCACAGTGATGAATAACAGCATTTAATGTGTCATCAGGTGTTTGTGTCATTGTCACCCACTTCCATTTTATGTATTTCTTCTGCAGTCATGTAGCCAGCCTAAAACAAAAATTAAATGTTCATTCCCTTCTCAGAAGTACCATTTTATCTGTATTTATATGCTTTATGTGGCCATGACCTTTCTTGACAATTTCTTTAAGTTTAATTTTTTATTTTTTTGAATGGAGACAACTTTTGGCATTGCCATTTTGATTGTGATAATAATGTGACATCTGTAAAGTAACCAAAATAGGGCACGCTCTTTAAGGGCTGCCTCTGATAGCACTCATTCATTACAGCCTTATGGGTCTCAGAAATACTTTCAATACAAAAATATATTACTCCACCATTGTTTCAAACCACCTACGCAATGAAAAGGAGAAGTCTTCCCAGTGGGCAGTTTCTGAATACACAAGAAAGAGGAGTGTTCAGTGCTTCCACCAGCCAACAAGCAGGATGTGACGTGGAACACTTGGGATAGTGCTCTCCAGTCTCGGCCTCAGCTGCCTTGGGCTAATGAAGAATATCACAAGGTGCTATGATTGCTTCAGAAGTTTGTGGGACTGGCTGAGGCAGCAGAAGGTAATGAGTGGCCACCATTTTGGGACTGGCATCACCAGGGTCTGTAAACGTGGCAGGAAGTTTTGTGGGAAATTCTGTCTTCTGTAGAGCAGCAAGAGCCAGTGGCCTGACCCACTGTGTAGAAGCAGGCCCGTTCCCTGGAACTTGTACCCTGCACCAGTGGTGACACCCAGCCATAGGAATATTCCTGGTGTCTCACTTAATTATCCCATGTAGTCACCTTACAATTCCTTCTGCAGAAATTCTCTTATTCTTCAAGAGTTTGATAGCCATATTTTTTCTCCCATATTAATGGCCCCTTAATTCAGCAGTTATCTTTGCGCATAATTCCCAGTCGCTTCTCTCTTTCTTTGTCCCTTTCATCTCTATCATCTCTTCTCTTTTGCCAAGGGCTTTGCTTCTCCCAAGCCTTCTTTACATCTCCTAGAATCAGTACTCAGGTTTTCACGTAGAATTTCCTTGTTCTGTGAGTGTAGTGTTTCTTTAGGAAATCCTCATTTTCTAGGCTGTCCCCTCAATTTGAAATCTGGAGGTTGGATTACAATTTAATTTTCCTTGAAACCCTCACCAGATTTCGAGGAGAAACCTTGTGATTTGGCCTCCGTAGGAAAGAACAGACTGAAAGGCCATGGGTCCATCTTTCCACCCTGACAGCTACAGGGCACTTGGCTTGGGGGGCAGGGAGGCCAGGAGACCCCTCCAGGCCCAAGGCTCCCAGTCTGGTATTGCTCCTCTGATGGCACTGTTGTGTGGGGATTCTTGGGAGTGGCTCCCAAAAGCACCTCCTGGCGCTGGCTCTGTGGTGATACCACCCCGCTGCTCATGTCTATTGGCAACTTGCCTTCTTGAAGCCTTTCTCCCTCGCTCTCACTGGCAGCAACTTCCAGAGTTCCTGGTACATCTCCAACATGTCTCCCTGCCATAATGTGTTCCAGTTAAAAGAATGCTGACTTTAGTGTCAAACCAGGCTGGTTTCAAATCTCCATCTGCCACTTCCCAGCTGCGGTACTTTGGGCTTGTTGCCTAATCCTCTGAGTCTCAGTTTTCTGTTCTATAAAATGGAAACAATAACATTTACCTTATAGGTTTGTTGTAAGTATTAAATGAAATATGTCAAGTGACTAATACAGGGGCTGGCAGATAGTAGGTGCCAATTAAGACAGATGGATAGCTTGGAAGCTTGGTGTTAGTTTCAGCACTTTCTACATTAAAGAAAAAAAGCAAACAACACCCACTCTTAAAAGGGATTTTTTTGAGAAGTTTACTTGAAGGTCCTTAAAGGTAGGCACCACCCAGCCTTATATACTCTGCATTCACCCTTAGCTCTCTTTGTGCTGTGCCTGGATGAAGGTGAATAGTTTTTGTGGTTGCCTTAGCAAAAGCCAACTATCATTTGCCCAGTGGCTCCTTTCCAGGACCTGCCCTGTAGAGCTCAGTATAATCTATAGGTTCTGCCTGAACTTAAAAGGTACCTAGTGAAAACCTCACATGTGCCTGCATATTTACTGTGTCCTTATTAGCAGTGTCCTGTACCCTCTGGAGCACTGAAGTGCCCAAATAAATTAAATCTCATACAAAAGCTCTAACTAGATGAGAAAAGTAAATAATAAGATATAATAGAAATTCTGGGTTACCCTTCTGTCTATTATGCAACCATGCTTGAACAATAACAGTCAATAGAAAATAGTGTCTGCCTTCAGGGTCTTAGAGACAAGACAAGTGCAGACAAAGCCATGTGCAATGTCATTTCTGTGAATGTGATGTTAAGAAGGTATGTGTGGATTAAGTATGACATGACTCACTATGCAAACAAAAGAGAGCTGCGTTTAAAAACTTGAACCCCTGGCTGCCTGTTCAGATCTCTACCTACTACATGCTGTTTCCATCTTTGAGTGCTTAGATTTTCCTATCAAAAAAAATTATATAAAAAATCAAAAGGAGAAGCCTTAGGAGAAAATAGCCGAAAACACTTCATCTTTATATGCGTGTCTAAAGCAGAGAACAAGCAAGGGTTTCAAAATGCATTGGCTGCATTTCAGTAGCTGGGATTAAAAGCAGACATGTTAATGAGCTCTAAGACAGCTAAACTCTTGGAAATTTAGGGGCAGAAGAACAGAAGGTTCAAAGAACCCTGTAACTGGTGGCAGCATTGAAAGCCCAGCTAAGCTATGTACACAGCTCATGCATTTCCTCTGGATATAAGGCTCTTTGGCCTATTGGGATGAGCCTAGCACATTCTGAGTTCCTGGACTGAAGCAGGCAAGCATTATGAAGGGAACATAGAGAAGGGACAGTGGAAGGAACGTGCTCACATGAATCGTGCTTTCAAAATTAAGACCAACTCCACTGCTCACTCTTTCTTCACTGGTTTCTAGTTTTGCTTTCAGTTGAACAGTGTCACAGCAGCACATCAGTACAATATTTTTCTCTCCCAAACTGTAATAGCAAAATTCTTATTAGACTTTGATTTTAATTACTAAAATAAAAAATACCCGCTATTGAGCCCTACTTTGTGCCTAGCACTAAGCTCAGCACCATATAAATAGGCACATGATAGAAAGATGGTAGGTAGACGATGGATGGATGGTAGATGAATGAGACACCATCTATCACCTCCAGTAGGAATGGGTAAAGAGAAAGTTTTGGGGTGGAAGAGAGGGAGTTTACACCTATTGCCTTGATTTTTTTTTTTTCTATGTGGGGTAAAGGGGGAAGGGAAGCAAGGGTAAAGCAAAGCCTGGAAGGAAGTTTTGAAACAGTTGGTGTGTGGAAGGGTAAGAGAAAAAAAGTGAGATAAAAACAAACAGTAGATTCGTAAACTCCTAGGATTCTTGCAGTAAATGCTTATCTCATCTTTATTGCCTTTGTCCCCTTCATTATCACCATCGACATCATTGTCATCATCTTTGGAACAAGTTGTACTGAACCACGTAACCTTTCTGTAATTGAGAAAATCATACCTTTGAACAACTGAGAATCGTATATGCTAGTTTCTCTTTTAGCGTGGGGTGTTGTCGGGTGACTGCGCTGACGGCATCCTCCCTCTCTTTGTGCTTGTGTAGGTTGAGCCAGTGATACAGAGAGGCCATGAGAGTCTGGTCCATCACATCCTGCTCTATCAGTGCAGCAGCAACTTAAACGACAGCGTCCTGGACTACGGCCACGAGTGCTACCACCCTAATATGCCCGATGCGTTCCTTACCTGCGAGACCGTTATTTTTGCCTGGGCCATTGGTGGAGAGGTGGGGTTTATGATTACTGAGATGTAACACTATTAATTTAATTTATCATGTTTTTTTCCCTAGGAGAAAATCTCTGTAAGTAAAGCTTTTCCCTATAAGTAAAGCTCTGTAGACTATTTTCGATATGAGGTGGCTTATTTTTTTTTTTTTTTAGGAAGTAATGCTTTCTTTAAGCCATTTTATTTTAGTGGAGTTCCAGAATGTTAAGATATCATTAAGAATGGTTGGTTTTTGAACGGAATAGAACTTTGAGGGGAGACAGTCTCATGGAATTTTTCTCGTTTAGGGTTTTTCTTACCCACCTCATGTTGGATCATCCCTCGGCACTCCGTCAGATCCTCATTATGTGCTTCTGGAGGTCCATTACGACAATCCCACATATGAGGAAGGTGAGTTTATTCTTCATATATCCTACCTTAGATTTTTATAAAGTTTTGTAACTCCCTTCTTAACAGAGTTGAAATAAAATAATAACATCCAGTGTTATAAAGAACTAACCTATACATTAGTCACCCAAATTAGGATACTTTTTAGAGTGAAAGAGGGTACTATTAATAATTACACTGAGACAATAGTCATGAACCAGTACTGGACAGGGCAAATGGGCACTAGTGGTCACTAATGTTAAAAACAATTTGCATATTACTTACCAGGATGTAGAATAATAAATGTTTCCCCTTTGTGATGTACATTAGTCCCAAATACATGGTGCTGATGAAACATTTTCTTTCCAATCACACGTAGGAAAGGATACCATTCATCTCATTAAAAAATATTAAGCATTTTGTTGTGTTATAGGCAAACCATAAATATACTCAGGAAATACTCAGTGACACTGTGTAATATGATATTGAAACGAAGGGTAAATGTTTACATTGGATTTCTGAATTTACTTTTGTAACATTCCAAAACCAAAAAAATTGAAAGATTCAGTATGAAATTATCACCAGAAGCAACTCAAAGGTATTATTGTACATCGATTGGCACAATTATTCAGCAAATACTGAGCACCAACTGTATGCTGGATCTGTGCTTAATGATATATTTTGAGTGAAAAATAGACACAGTCTCCACATTGTGGAAATTATAGTACAGTGGGAAAGAGAAACAATAAAATAATCAATCTGATTAGTAAAATTATATTTATGCTAATTGATCTGAAAGTTCAGTTTGGTAGTCGTAGGTAGCCATAGGCTGTGATGACTTGCAGAAAGGAGTCCATTAATTTCAGTTAGTGGAATAGATTTATGAAGTGTTTGAAACTCATACTGTCCTTCCTTAAACTATGTCATAGCAAGGATTGTGTCTTATTCATGTTTCATCCCCACAATGCCTATAGTAGTGTTCTTCACATAGTAGATTCTTAATAATTGTTTGTTGATTCGAGGACTGTTTGTTGAATGATGAAAAGAATGGTGACAAACTGTAAAGTTAATCATTAGTTGATTTCTCCATCAGATGATTTCTCAACCAAGGGGTTTTCACCTCTATGTAAATGTTAATAGGCTTTACCTCAAAACAATATAAAATAAAACTTCTATTAAGTTATTCTATATTCTAATGAATGACTTTAGGATTTCTATTCTGTCTTTATGTCAGATAATGGTGGAATATGAGCTAGGCAACACAAACATTTCTCCCATGGTATGCTGGGTAGAAAAAGTTGCAGACAATGTGGTGCCTCCTCTTTTCATTCCTGTTTGTGAAGCTGAAGGTTGTCTTCCATGAATCTTTACTTGTATTCTTTTCCCTTGTGAAATTTTAAAGATAATTAATGAACCCATTTCAATTGAATACAGAGAAATCTTTTTTAAAGGACTCAACTCACTTTTAATAATATACTTTTGTTCTAGGCTTAATAGATAATTCTGGGCTGAGGTTATTTCATACAACAGATTTAAGGAAATATGATGCCGGGGTGATTGAGGCTGGCCTGTGGGTAAGCCTGTTTCATACCATTCCTCCGGGGATGCCTGAATTCCGGTCTGAGGGTCACTGCACCCTGGAGTGCCTAGAAGAGGTATGCTGCATGTGAGTCTGTGAGCTGCTACTTACAGATTCATCAATGCTCTTAGAAAACTGTGTTTGGAAAATTCCATGCTTGTTTATTATTAATCTTCTTGCTGTCATTCTGTAAAAGCATTATTTATAATTTTAGTAAAATCTGTGATGGCCTTTTTAAATCTTGAAGGCTACAGGAAGAGTAGAATTCTGAAGACAATAACTTGCAGGATGTTTTCCTACCAGCCCCACCTCCTTTCTTTGCTTTGTATTGGACACTTTATTTTATCTTTTACAATTTCTGCTTTTGTTTGTGGAGTCTCTTTCTCCCTTCTCAACTTTACCTTTTATCCATACTTGTTTTTTCCATTATCCATTTTCAGTTTTTTCTCCTTTTCTCTGCTTTATGATTTCCTTCCCTTCTTTAACCAAAGATAAAGAATAATGAACATAAAAATACATATTGGTTAACAGAAAACGATATAAAAGCACTAAATAGTGGCAGCTTCCATTGATGGTTCTTTTTTTCTGGAATGAAAGTATTTCAATATGGATTATATTCTTTATGCATTATATGATATAATGGTTGTAGACAGTATGGCAGGCAGATAGAAAGATTATGCTCTTCTGAGTTATTTAAACATAATTCAAATTGCCATGACATCACTTATTAGCTATACGACCATTGACAATTTATTTAATTCTACTCTCCCACTGGTTTTCTTATATGGAGAAGTGGAAATGATTTCTCCTTTTAAGAATTTTGATTTATGGGTTACAAAATACTGGAATCTTTTTGCCAGGAGTTTGATGGCCTCTTTATCTCCTAAAAGAGGGAAAAGGAAAGATAACTGTTAGGGATGGTTCCTAGGTCCTCAGAAAGCATTAATTCCCTTTCTTTTCTCACTGCACATGTTGCTTCACAAAGATAACACTGCTACGAACAAGTCATGAAAAATCCAAATTCAAAATGTTGGGCAGCTCAAGCATTCATGTAGATTGCTTCAGCTTTTCTTCTCAGTTGTCCCTCCAAGTTTCTTTTTGACATGAACTGTCTGAATATGCACTCACTTGGGCTAGTTGAGTTTTCCCTCTGTGTCCCCTGCAGGCTCTGGAAGCTGAAAAGCCAAGTGGAATCCACGTGTTTGGGGTTCTTCTCCATGCTCACCTGGCTGGAAGAGGCATCAGGCTGCGTCATTTTCGCAAAGGGGAAGAAATGACCTTACTGGCTTATGATGATGATTTTGACTTTAATTTCCAGGAGTTTCAGTATCTAAAGGAAGAACAAACAATCTTACCAGTATGAATATTTTATTCTCTTTCACTGAATATTCTAAAAACTGTGAGATGTATCAACTGAGATTCAGCAAGGCTTCTACTAGTTAAATGACTTGCTCATTGCATCCCTATTTTTTAAGCCACCCACCATGGGTATTGCATAACCCAGAAGGAATGTGTTTGATCTGTTTTCCAAATTCAAAACTCATTTTTCTTAACTATTCCCAGGGGCAATTCCAATTGTTGATTTAAAAAGAAAATAAAAACTTGAGTTCTAAGCACTAAACATTACTCTTTTCTTGTTTGACTCTTCAGTTAACAATCCTTTGGGTTGTAATTTTGGTAATGGTAGAATCAGAGGTGTCCTTATAGGCTTTTGGGAGTTTCATTTCAGTAAAAATGAATGTAAGGATAATTCTTTCATTTGACCAATGTATTTAGATATAACTCATTACACTAGGCTGTGCAATCCAGCTTGAAACAATACTTGGAGTTGTAGTGTGTTGAGACACTGATCCTCGGGCCCTCCAAGGAATGAGGTAGGAGGACAAATCTAGGGGTTGGCACCCAGAACTAGCTGCCTCCAGGCTAAGAATAGCCCGTTATTCATCTGAGTGGAGAGTCATGAAAAATTATTTTCTATGTGTGCTAATTTTTCAAAAGGCTGGAAAACACTGAAACAAGAAATGACTATTACTTTGCCTTACAATTCTGTTGTAAGGAAATAAAGACATGACTAAAGACCCTCAAAGAAAATAATGGAAATGAAGAGATAGTCACAATAACTAGTATCTATGGCTAATATTTATGAAGGGTTTAATCCCTGCTAAAAACTGAAGGTGTGTCATGTCATTTAATCTCCTCGGAACATTTGTGCAAAATTAGTACTATTTTTACCATTATTTTTTAAGTGAACAAGTTGTACCCAGATGATCTATTTCCCTACCTAAGGTCATACAACAAGAACATGGTGGAGTCTGGCCTGAGAGAGCATTATTTGTTTACTTGCTTATTATATTAGCAATTCTAGAATTAAATAGGTCAAAGGTCTTCTCCTGAATCAAATTAAGTAATACATCCATTCACATAGCAGATTAAACTGTTGGCCTACAAGTGTACTAGATAGATAAAACAGTATAAAGTTCCAATCTGAAAGCTTTTCTTTTATGTTTTAGGGAGATAATCTAATTACTGAATGTCGCTACAACACAAAAGATAGAGCTTGGATGACTTGGGTAAGACAATTTTTATTATTAAGATTCATTTGTGAAGAAGGGGGAATAAACTTTGATTTTAGAAAAAAAAGCATTCCCATTTGGAAGCAAAATTCCTGGACATCATAAGCATGAAACATCAAAAAAGTGAAATAAGATCTCTTTTGGCATTTTATCAGCTTAATTAATAATACTGTGGTAATATTTGCAGCGTAATTTTTTGATTCTTTCAATGGAAAGCTATCTTTAGCCTTTTCATTTTCCTTACCTTTATTAATAAAAGGCCTGTGGTCACTAATGACCATCTATTTGAATCTGGACTTAGATGAATCAAGACTTCAAGAGGAAGAATGAATTGCATCATGTAAGGGCTTCTGACCCAAAGAGAAAGTTTGTCCCAGCAGATTTGCTGGGGAGTCCTGCTAAACATTCAGGAAACAGATCAATCATGCCTAACTCAGTCTCTTCTATGGACCACAAAAAAGAGGGAATACCTCCCACCAACTCATTGTATGAAGTTAGCAGAATCTTAATACTAAAACTTGGTAATAGCAGTAGGAGAAAGATCAACAACGTATATCTAATGGAAATATCTTTGACAGAGTATTGACAGACTCAAACCTATATTATATAAAAATGTAATGTTAGGAGCAATTTGGGCTTAGCTAAGGAATATACACTTGTTTTAAATTTAAAAATATATTAATGCCATTCTACATGAAGAGACTGAAGGAAAAAACATATCATCACATCAATAGGGGCAGAAAAAATATTGGTGAAATTTGTCAGTCATGGGGAAAGAAGGACGTTTAGCAAAGCAGCATTAGGAGAGAATTGCCTCAACCAGATAAAGATTAGCTGTGAAAAATCTATAACAAATATCAAATGAAGTGAAATACTAAAGTGACTGCATTAAAACCAAGAAGATTATTACTTATTTAATATTATTTAATATTTATTATTAAACAAATTATTGCTTATATAATTAAAAATTAATTATTATTAAATTATTGCTATTTCTATTCAACATTGTACTGAAAAAGAAAAAATATGAGCTAGGGATCAGAGGAAGAAGCAGAGAAGCAAAACACATCATTCACAGATACTGTAATTTCCTACATCAAAAACCTTCTCAAAATTGATGACATCTAAAATTGTTTTCATATATAAGAAATTATCTCAAGGAAATACAATTCAAAGCAAATTCTATAGAAATAAAATCTAATATTAGATGTTTGATCACTATAGAAAATGTCTTTATTTCAAGACATTAAAGAACAACTAAAGAGACACTGTCCATGAATAGAGAGATTCAGTAAAATAGAGATAATCCTTGTATTAAAACTCTTCTACAGATTTGATATCATTCCAGTAAGAAATTTCAGAGACATTTTATGATTTGGGAATCTCGTATCCTAAGAAATCATCATCAAGTCATAGTTGCAAAGATTTTCTCCTTCTTAAAAATTTTTTCTAAAAACTTTACAGTTTTAGTTTTTACATGAAGCAAGTTGGTTCTGAAATCTATGTAGAAGAGCAAAGGGTTAATAGTAGGCAAAGACACTACAGGAGACAAGCTACTAGATATGAAGGCTTATTTTAAAGCTATGGTAATTAATAGTGTGTTTTGGGTCCAGAGTTAGGACAGTGGAACAGATTAGGGATCCTGCAAACAGACCTACAAATCCCCTATATGGAAACTTTGCTTATGATAAATATGGCAATCAAATAAGTGAGAAAAGATAGGCTTTTCACTAAAGAATTCTGGCACAAGTGGGAATCCAGATGACAAAAATAAAATTATATCTTTACCTTGCCCAATGCACAAAAAATCAATTCCAGCTAGATTAGGTATTTAAATATGAAGAGCAAAGATTTAAAACCATCTGGAGAAAAGTATATGAACATATCTTTATGACTTTGAGGTAGCTGTGAACTTAAACAAAAACTTAAATGCACGAACTGTAAATTAAAAGATTGATGAATTTGACTACCTTAAAGCTTTTGGTTACTTAAAACACTATTAAGTAGGTGAAAAGATGAGTCTTGAAATTGAAAAATAAATATTTGCAATCCATAAATTAACAAAGCATTAGTATCCAGCCTATAAAAGAAATTCCATAAATCAGTAACATAGGATAATACAATAGAAAATGAACAAGAGATAAAAACATTTCACAGAAATGAAAGCCCAAACAGATAAACAGATGAAAGGATGTTCAATTTCATTTAAAATCAGCGTCATGCAAATGTGAACCAGAAGAGAGATTTTATACCCACCAATTTGGTAATACTTAAAAATGCAATTCCAATGTACTAAACCTGGAACCTACTGCTCCATATTCCATTAAATGTAAATTTATAAAACTATTGGGGAAAAACATAGCATTATCTAGTAAAGTTGAAATTTCACATATACTCGACCTGGTTCCATTCCTATGTAGACTTAACCTTGAGGTTACTTCTGTAGGAAGTATTCCAGAAGAGAAATACATGAAATTTTCATAGTGACATGTAGTAACAATACAGAAACACGAAGTCGGGAACAGCTCACCTATCATCAAAAGGATAACAAATAAATACATTATGATATGTCCGTATAATATATGAATAGTATATCATTGTGACAATACATGAACTAAAGCCACTTACATTAACATGAATGTATCTAAAGAACATAATGTTGAGATCAGCAAGTTAGAGCTAATGCTCAGAGTAGCGCTTTCCGGGACAGGTTTGAAGTTCAGCTTCACTAGCCTTTAAAAAACAATTTACTTGAAAGAGGCCTCCTGTGCTGCCTGCTTTTGGTCTATTGAACCAAATGCCAAACCGTCTTGCTTCCATTGTTGTGCAGAATGCAACTTGTTCTGCCACTTCCCCTGAGGCTAGTCAGAAGGCCTCTTCACAATATACTTGTCCCTGGGAGATATAGCGAATACGTATAGAACACCTTTCTACAGCAATGCTTAGCTCTTATTCTGGGTATGTCTTAGAAGCAAATTACTGGACAGGAGAAAGCATCAGAGCCTTCTCTCAGGAAGTGCCATTCCGAGCCAGTTTGCAGAAGACTATGTAGTATGATATCATGCATCTAAAGTTCAAGAACATCCAAAATGAAACAATATATTGTTAGGGATAGATACTTCAACAAACTGAATGTAAAATGTGATAAAATCAGTAGAAATGATAAACAATATTAAGTAATCATCATCTCTGGTTATGGGGAGAAAGAAGAGAGTTGGAGATGAGCACACAGATAGTAGTTCGTACACTGATATTGGCATTATTTTTCTCATGTCTTTTTATATAATTTTGTTTGCATGAAATATTTCATCACAGATGTAATAAATTATTATTTCTGTGCATATTGTAACACTCCGCCTGGATACCCAACCTCTTCAGAGACAACATAGCTAAACCCCAGTCACTGAAAATGTCAGATCATGAGAACTCACAACTGTGTCCCTTGCTGGGCATTATTCTTGGCATCAGGAAACACACTCCCTTCACTGGGGCACCCAAAGCCAATGACTGGCCGATGTGAGGGTACAAATGCTCAGCTTCCTACACTTTGGTACAACTCTGAATAGCCTTTCCAGCCCAAGAAGAGATTAAATATATTTACTGAGGTGTCAGTTGCAACCCCATTTATACAGATCAGCTTCTCTCTTTGACCAGTCCTGCCTTGCCCATCAAGTGCAAGACATTATATTTTGCAACTTGTAAAATCATTGCATGTTAGCCACTACTTTACTAACTTCTCCACCTTCATTTTTGTATGCTAGGTATTTTGCTGGATATAGAATTCTTGGTTAATTTCTTTTTTCCTGTAGCACTTGAATATGTAATTCCAGTATCTTTTTGTTACTCCTGTCATTTATGATGAACTGTCAAATGCCAATTGTCTTATTGTTTCCCTGATATGTGATGTCATTTTCCTCTTGCTGCTGTAAAGATTTTCTCCTTATCTTTTGCTCTCAGCAGAATGACTGTGATGTAGCTCTCTTTATATTTGTTTGGCATTTGTTGAGCTTCTTGGTTCTGTAAGTTTATGTTTTTCACTACATTTGGGAAGATTTCAGCCATTGTTCTTTCAAATATTTTTTCTACCCTTTCCTCTTTTCCATCTCATTCTGAAGCATCAATTAAATGTGTGTTGAAACATTTAATATTGTTTCACAGATCTCTGAGGTATTTTCACTTTCTTTAGTCTTTTTTTATTCTCTGTTTTTGTTTTGAACAATTTCTATTGATCTGTCTTCAATTTCACTGATTCTTTCCTCTGCCATCTCAACTGTGCTATTGAGCTCATCTTGTGGATGTTTTATTCAATGATTCAAATATTTATTCAATTCAAAATATACCTCTCAACTTGAGAATTTCTATTTGGTTCGTTTTTGTTTTCCATTCTCTGATGTCATCCCTTATTTGTTCACTCATTATGAATGTATTAGCCTTTAATTATTTAGCATCTTTCTTTAACTCTTTAAACATATTTATATCTGCTATTAAATTTTTGGTAAATCCAGCATCTGTATCTTCTCACAATCAGTTTCTAATGTATCTATTTTTTCCTAATTACAGACCATAGTTTCCTGTTTCTTTTCATGTTTAATGACTTCTGGTTGAATATTGAGCATTATAGGTAATATGTTGTAGCAATTCTAGAATCTTTCTTCTGAGAATATTTTATCTTCTAAAAATTTTAGTGGATAATTTACTGCCTAGATTCAGAATATAAAATCTGTCACCTCTGTGTATACAGCTGATGTTTATACACAGGACAACAAGAAATCTCAGTACAACCAGGCAAAGATTCCACCAAACTGACTGATTGGTATAATGTTAACCAAACTGAACATCCCCAATCCTCTGAGATGTTCACTGTGGGAGAAGTTTGCATCATATAAACAGAAGTTTAAGGAGCTTATTATTAGGTTATGTAACAAGACAACTTTTAAAGAGATGGAAATAATTATGTTAATTTTTAAATGTATCACTACCTTTTTAAAAATTTAAAACAAAATTTAAACCAAATTTAAAACCAAATTGCCATTTAGAGTATTATTTCTCAGTTTTAAGATTTCTTATCTTTCCGTATTTGAAGAATGGTATAACATTGGGGGTTTCTCTAAGTGTAAGAGCTGGTGGAATATATACTTTTCTAAATAAAATACCTCCATTTTCAGGGAGGATTAAGCACCAGGAATGAAATGTGTCTCTCATACCTTCTTTATTACCCAAGAATCAATCTTACTCGATGTGCAAGTATTCCAGACATTATGGAACAACTTCAGTTCATTGGTGTTAAGGAGATCTACAGACCAGTCACGTAAGTAGTGAATGGATTTCGTGGTAGGGATAATATTCTTCAGAATGTTAGGAATTCCATACGAGGAATGCTTTATGTGCCATTCTATGTGATAATTTTCAACTGGGGAGATCAGGCGAGCTCCTTAGTTGCTATGTTCAAGGTTCCCAGAACCAATCTCTGTTGGTTGAGTGATTTTCTAGGAAAACCTAAAGGATTCAACAAATAATTGTACTCATGGCTAATATTTATTACAGTGAGAGAACACAAAGCAAAATGAACAAAAAGAAAAGGCACATGGGACAAAATCCAGACAAAACCAGCTACAAGCTTCTGAGAGGGGTCTCCTGGTAAAGTCACAAAGAATTTGCTTAATTCCACCAGCATCAGATTCTGACAGCATGTATGACATATTGTCAACTGGAGGAGCTCATTAGAAACTCAGTACCCAGAGTTTTTATTAGGGGCTGATCACATAGATGCCGTCTGCCTACTAAGTACCAAAACTACAGATTCTCAGAAGGAAATCAGATGTCCAGATTAACCTGCATCGTTGTACAGTCTAGGCACAATGTGTCACTCTTATCATTCAGAAAAAGTTTTATAACAATATTGGAAATTGTTTACTAGTTAAGTTTCCTGCTGCCAGCCAAAAGTGAGCCTTCCAAACAGGCATTCTCAAGGAGGACACCCTCAGGCCTTCTGTGTGAACCTTCTGCACAATAGCATAGCATAAATACTATCTAAGATAAAGTAATAAACACATCAATATTATTCCTTCCCTCTTGAGATTAAATTATAGAATGAAGAAGAGATAATAAAGAAACAAAATAAACATAAAATTTCAGGTATTAGTAAATGTTATGAAAATAATCTACACAATGAAGGAGTGTGTGACTGTTGTTGGTAGGGTGGTGACAGCCTCTCTCGGGAGGTGTCAGTCTGTCCAGGCTGCTGTAATGTAAACACCATAGACGGGCAACTTATACACACACTGGGGAGTCCAAGTTTAAGGTGCTGGTAGATCCACTGGCTGGTGAGAACCTGCCTCCTCACACAGGGCTATCTTGTCGCAGTGACCTCACATGGCAGAGGGGACTAGGGACCTTTCTCAAGCTGCTTTCATAAGGACACCATCCCATTCATGATGGCTTATTGATGAACTTTTCAACTTCCCAAAGTTCCATCTCCTAATAACATCACCATGGGTGTTAGGATATCAACATATAAATTTTGGGGAGACTCAAATATTCAATACACGGCAGGTGGTGATGTTTGAGCAGAGACATAAGTGATGAGTTGACCATGGAAAAATATGCAGGTGTGCTTTCTGTGGAGAGAGGGGCCAGTGTAATGACCCTCTGATGGGTGAGCAGCTAGTGTGTTCAAAGAATAGCAAGAAGGTGAGTTTGGCTGGAACAGAGTGAAATACGGTAGAGGATTAGTGAGGAGGTCTGACAGCAAGTGGGGCCAGGTCATTTAGGACTTTACAGGCCATATAAGGACTTTAGGTTTTAAGTGCAAAGAGAAGCCATAATAGGATATTTAAAAAAAAAGTCTGTTTGGCTACTGTACTGAGAAAGGACTCCAGGAGGACAAGATTGGAAAGAATAATACCAACTAAAAAACTATTACAATTGTCCAGTCAAGAGAGAAGGGCATCTTGGACCAACGTAGTGGCAGTAGAGTTGATGAGAAATGGTTAAATCCAGGTTACCTTTCAAAGGTAACACATTCATTGGGCTTGTTGACTGACTGCATATAGGGAAATACTGAGGGAAAAAGAAAAGCAAAGACAACTGGTGATGTGTGAATGGTTTAGGGAAATGTGTTCGAAGACAAAATTGAAAATTAGTTTTTGGATATTTAAGGGTGATATGGAGAAAGGATTTTTATCCATTCTTAGTAATACCACAGAGAAGAATTATGGTAGTTGGTGGGAATTTTGGAACATAGATTTTGTTTTACTATAAGGAAGTATTTTCTAATGATTATGACTTTCCGAAATGAAAGAAGCTGATATAATCAGGCAAAAGATATGTTTTTGAGGGGGCACATTTAAGGAGAGAGTAAAAAAACAATAAGAATGGATAAAAAGCAGATGCTGAAGTAGAATATAATAATGATCTATTTTTTTTTGCTCTGAAATATTACAGGGATTATAAATTCTTCATTTTAAATTAAACACACTATTCGTAGATATGTTCTACTGAGTTCCTATCCAGAAAACCCAATGACCACCAGAAGTCTATTTTATTTTGTTAAAATAAAAATAACAGATTACTTGTGTAAAGTAATGTGTAACTCATGAAGTATTTCACATGCATGATTTCATTGAATTTTTACATGATTCCAATAGGTAGAGCAAGAGTTGCAATCCCAGTTTTATTGAGGAGGAAACAGAAACAGAGATTAAGAAACTATTCAACATTACAAGGTACATAATAAAGGGGGTCTCTGATAGAGATAGAGATAGATAGATAGATAGATAGTTAATCTGCCTCTTTATTCAAAATAAATAATTGCATATTCAAAAAATTTAATATCAAAATTATACATAAAATGTCATTCTAAAAACACTAGGATATAGACAAGATATAGTCTTGTCTTTAAAATACTAATACATTGTCCTTTACTAAGACTTCATTAGCCTCTTTTTCCCTTAGAATATTTTTTACATATTGACTAGAAACTTTTCATAACTGGGTTAATTTGAGGGAATGTTGAAAACAGATAGTAAAAGCTGTGTATTTATAAAATCATGATTCAAAATGCATTCCATGGCTCAATTATTTGCTTTTGTGTCCAATTTGTGTGAAGCATCTGAAAATGCTCTGCTCACATGTCCCAGCAACCTCTGTCAGCATCCACACCTTTGGTCTTTCCCAGGAAATACTGAAGTTGAGTTTTTCATTACTTAGAAAGACAGGGAGAATTGCTTCACAAAACAAGGCCAGTTTTGAGATGTCATTACCCGTATAAAACCATTTAACGACATGGTTACACTTATTTATCCTTCAAAAATATGAGTCAAAAAAGAACCAGTGTTATAAAATACGTGTTTAGACTTTAAATCAGACTTTCAAGCCCAATTCATCATCCCAGTGACATAACTGTTACTGAGGATCTAACCAACAAGGTCCTGGCTAAAACATCAGAAAGACAGAAATGGTTTGTGGGCTTGTTCTCTGTTTTGCTTAAAAAAAATACTGCTAATTTGGTTTCAGAACACAGTACTAAAAAGGAATATCATATAATATACAACAAAATATGCTATTCTGTGCTTTTAATATCATGATTGGGTTGGTGCCCTGTTTTATTTTAAACATTCTGTAGCTATCCTAGGACTAGAGGATGAGTTGGTAGAAAAATACACAACTGTGTCCTGTCTCAGGATTTGTCTGTTCTGGGGAATATGATTTTTCTCTGCCTCCTACAGACCTGGCAAGGCTTAGGGATAAACAGAAAATTCACAAAGATCAGATAACAGAATAGATCATGAGTACAGATAAATTTTGTATTCACTGCTACACCGCATGTCAACACCTTCTACGCCGTTCTAGGGAGATTTATGTGATGGGAAGTTCCTGTGTTATTTGTTCTATTTCTAAAAAAGCATCAAGAGAGGTGTTTCTGTTTCCTTGTAGAAAATCATTTTATAATGTGTACAAATCACACATGCTTATTATAGAGTCTAGGAAATGCAGAAAAAGGTTTTAAAAAGATGACAATGACCTCAAATTCTGTTAGAAATAAACAATACTAACATTAATTGAATGTTATTCCAGACACATTTCTGTATAGGTATTGATATAAAGAGGAATAGATTGTTGTTACAAAGATTATAATTTGTGCACTGCTTTAAACAAAAATGTTAAATTTTATTTTATGAAAAGAAAAAGAAATCAAATTAAAACTGAACAGTTGTTGAACCTCAAATAAATGTTGTTGCTGTTCATAGCCACAAAATATAATGTTTTGATAGACTCTCAATTGTTGAGAATATAGATCATAAAAGATGTTGCACAATTTTTTAACTACATATTTAAATTTTAGAATATAAAAGATGAGGACATTTATATATTTGTATTTTCTCCCACTTCCCTTTTCCCTACCTCCCGATATTTATTTATAATTTTTATATTTTCACAATTTTTAACTTTCGCATTTACTTCTGAAACCAAGTTCCCACAATAGTTAATGCAACTTTTATATTTAAATAGGTTCAGTGATAATCCCTCACCTTTTTATGATTTTTACATTTGAGTTCTTTCATTTGATTCATTTGATGGAAAGCTCCCGTGTTATCTGTGCTCTTTCTAGAAAAGAATTGAGAGAGACATTTCTGTTTCTTTGCAGAAAATCATTTTATATTTATATTGTGTAAAAATCACATATGCTTACTATAAAGAGTCTAAGTAATGGGACTATACAGGATTTTATCTTCAAGTTGGTTTATCAAGAAGGGCTTCCAAGTGCCTTATGCTCTGAGTTCTTTTATGTTTTAGAATTTGTGCGTTTATATTTGGACAGCGTTTGGCTAGATATAATATTTTAGAGCAGTATCTTTTTTATCTCTTCTGGGGTGGTCTCTTTGAACGAATGTGGGCTTTCTTCCTCTATTAAAAGTTCATAAATTAACTTGAACATATTTCAGTGTTGAGCATCTCAGTCAAAAAAATTTACTAAAACACAAGGTGTTCTTTCAGTACATGATTCCCTTTTTTTCATTTTAGAGAGATTTTCTTGTATCTATAGATATTTTTCCTTATCTATTTGGTGTTTTTTTCAACTTTTATAATTTTTCAGAAGTGTTCTTCTGCTTGTTTCTTTTTCTAATTTCTTTGATGCTAAATTTGTTTTGCTTAAATTTATTTCCATTGGTCTGTTACCTCCCTTTTTATCTCATTCTGTTGTTTTAATATCTTGTATTTGAGTTCTTATTTAATTGAATTAAAGTTCTTGTCAAATAAACTTATAGAAAGAAACACTTGTGGGATTTCTCTCCAGTATAACTGGTTTATATTCTCTGCTAAAGTCAGTTTTTTTTCTCTCTTTGTATGAAATATGATACAATTTTCTTTTCACTCTATGTTTGCCAGGCATTATGCCTTTTTTAACTTAAGCTGAGCCACTTCTGTCTAAAAGTTATTTCACTCTGATAAAATGTAGGTGAATTCTTGACTTCCTTGTAAGCAAATCTTAGAGCAGCTTTCTTTCTCTCACACCACAGTTTGAAGTTTGAGTGGTATATTTATGTATATAATTTCCTCTATTTTGAGGGTAAAAGGCTATGGGCATAGAAGTGGTATATTCTATATTACAACACATCGATTACCCCTTCCTCTGATTTGATTAAGAATCTCTTTGAGGAAATTTTCTAACTGGTTGGGGCTGAAGCCCTTTCCACAGAGGAAGGTTCCAGGCCTTATATATCATGCTGTCAAATCTCCTCCAGTCTTTGAGGTTTTTCTTCCATCAGGGAGATTCAATTTGATGTGTACTTCCCCAAATTCATTTACCTAGAGAATCTCAAAAGGATTATGAGTTTTATCTTGTTAGTTTAGATTTCCTGGCTTTCTTCTTTAGTAATTAGATTGTGAAGTTTATGACATTATGTTATGTCTTTTTTCATTGGTTTGTTGATATGCTCCTGTTTTATTATTTATTTTTTAAAGTCAGATTCTTTGAGATAGAACTTACATAGAATAAAATGCACCTATCTTAAGGATATCATTAGAAAGTTTTCTCAGATGTGTACACATATTTAATCCCCAAACAAATGAAAATAGAACATTTCCGTCACTCCCCAAAGTTGTGTTATGCGTAACAGGAGACAATCCCACCTCCCATGCAAAGCCCCAGGAAACTATGAATTTGCTGCATGACTATATTAGTTTGATCTACTCTAGATTTTATGAAAATGGGATCATCCAGTATGTACTCTTTTGTGCCTGGCTTCCTTGACTCAGAATGTTTCTGAGATTCATCTATGCAGAAGCATGTGTCAGCACTCCCTTCCCTCATATTGCTGAGGAGTAGTCCCTTGTGTGGATACACCAAATTTCATTTACTGATTCACCTGTTGAAAGACATCTGCATTGTTTCCAGTTTCTGGCTATTATGATGAAGGCAGCTATGAACAACATTTTGCATTAGTCTTTGTACAGACATATGTTTTCAATATTCTGGGTTTATACCTCCTGGTGGAATCACTGGATTTTGCACTGTTTATGTTTACTTCATAAGACTCTCAAAATGTTCTCCAAAATGGTTACCTTTTTATATTCTCACTGGTAATGTATAAAACCTCTTATGGTTTAGCATTTTTTCCTAATGTTTTGTATTTTCAAAATTTTAATTCTGACCTATTTGAATGTAAATGCAGTGGTATCATTGTGGTTTATTTTCCATTTCCCTTATGACTACCAATGTTGAGTCATTTCTCACATGCTTATTCATCATTTATATATGTTTCTTTTTAGTTGGAATTTTGTCCATTGTTTAATTGGGTTACCTGTTTTCTTATTAACCCTTAAGAGTTCTTCGTATTTTTAAAAAATTCTTCATTCTTCACATGTAAGTCCTTTGTCAGATACATTTTTACAAATAATTTCTCCAGGTCTGTGGCTTGATTTTCATTTCCTTTATTGTATTTCTTGAAGTCCATTTTATCATTTTTGGTTTGTTTTGGTGGAATCACTGGATATCCCATTTAAGAAATCTTGCCTACTCAAAGTTGTGAAGATTTTCTCCTGATTTTTTTTTTCTTGCCTGAAAGGTTTACAGTTTTAGCTTTTATATTTATGTTGATGAACCATTTTGAATAAATTTTGGTATGTGGTATGAAGTAAACAGTGACAGTTACTATTTTCTATATGGATATCAAGTTGTTGAAGAACCACTTGATGAAAAATACAACTTTTTTCTTATTGAATTACCTTAGAATGTTTGTTGAAAATCTTTTGATCATATATTGACTAGTTCTGGACTCTGAATTCTGTTTCATTTCTGTACATGTTTAGCCTTACCATAGTAATACCACACTTAATTGTTGTAGTAAGTCTTGAGATAAAAACATTTAAGTCCCCAAACTTTGGTATGTTTTCCTTCTCCCCAAATCATTTTGGATAGTCTAAATTTGTTCCATTTTTGTATATATTTTTGAATCACTTGTCAATTACATTAAATTTACAGAGGAAAACTTCATCAATATTAATCATAATCTTAATGTGATTTATTTTTATCAACTGCAGTGCTATATAAATAATGTCCTTTTATTTATATGTGTATTTGGGTAGACATTTACACACTGCCTGGATGTGCAGAAATGTAACTATTTTAATTTCTAGAAGATTCCTAATATTCCTAACTAATTTCCAGTCCTAGTGATAGCCAAAGAACTTGCTACTTCAAGGTTACCTGTTTCTTGTTTAAAGTTTAGCCTTTTAAGGAAAAATACTCAGGATAACAATTCACTTTTTCAGGATTTCTCCTCTTCTTTTTTCTCCAAGGGTTATAGTTGTAGGATAGGCTAGAAAGGTTAGAGATAACGAGAAGGAAGTTTGCTGGTGAGATGTTATTATAGAGTAGGGGGCTGAACTAAGTAGGAATGGAGTGGGACAAGTTGCCATCTCAGAGAGGTTAATAATCACATCCTCAGGTCCGCCTGCCTCAGGCATGTTGTCTTCAGTGGACCAATAAGTTTGCCCTATTCTACTGTCTTTTCCACATATTTATAGTAAGTTAACAAATGTGTTGATATCTCTTCTGTCACTTTATTTTGTGGAATCTCAAAGAAGTACTAGTTTACTGATTTAATCTAGCAACAAAGCTTTTAAAGTTTTCATCTATGTGCAGCAATATACCAGCAAGGCTACAGAAAATTCAGAGGATTTACACCACTCAGCGCTTTAGTAGGGAATCTAGTGCCACCTGGTGGTGTTTTAGGTCATTACAGGCTGAGGATGTCACTGTCCCCTCAGCGTTCTCCTAGCTATGTCGCTGATTCTTTTTTCAAGACAGACACCTAATATTTTTGATAAGTAAATTTTATTTTTTAATATTTGATTTGAAAAGTATTTTGTAAAAATAAAAAAGTATTTTAATAAAACTTACCTGTCCTTTTTAATGTATTTAAAAGGACACTGTATGTAAACATGTCAAGTTTACATGTCAAGTAAACTTGCTTCATGTCAAGTTTCTATTTCATACTAATTCTGGATTGTATTTTTACCAAGTCTTCACAACATGTTTAATATAATGAGATAGATTTTATGTCATTGCTAGATATGTTCAATGTGGTGTGATGCTCACTGATCTTTATGGTACTTAACTTTAAGTTCTCTGTACAAAATAACACATTTAAAAATCAACAAAGATGTATTGACTTTAATTAAAGGACAAAGGAACTTAGGAATGAAGAATATAAAGATCCTCATATTAACCTGAGTTTACTTAGAGTGGCCAGTGGAAGCAGAGCATATCCTCTACAGAGTATTTTTTTCTCAGTAAAATGTTTAAGACACTTGTTCAGTTTCAAATCTTTGTATTTATTGTCACTTGGGCAGCCAGCAGGGGTCAGCCTTTTCAGCTGTATGGAGATGGAATTTCCATCGCTGTTCGAGTACCTTTGGGGAACCTGCACATTCCTTCGTTACACCATTAGCTTACACTCTTCAGAGCAGAGTGCTTGTCAATTGTATTATTAACTAGAGCCAAAGTCAGTGAGGAATTGTGAGGTCTGGGGAAACTTTCTGAAACAAAATTATTTGTCTTAAAGTAATACCCATCTGCTACCAAAACAAGGAATTTTTTTTTTAAAAAAAGAGTCCCAATTTGTTATGTATTTCTTCTAGTAACTGCTGATGAGATAGTTCATCCGCGCTTTGCTTTTGGTTATCTGTGTGTAAAAACAAGAAAGTGTAACGTCTCTTTAAAATGCTGAACAGTAATGGAAATATGTAACACTTCTGTTCTGAATATGACTAATTGTAGTTATTTTAAATTCAGGACCTGGCCTTTCATTATCAAAAGCCCCAAGCAGTATAAAAACCTTTCTTTCATGGATGCAATGAATAAATTTAAATGGTCTAAAAAGGAAGGTCTCTCCTTCAATAAGCTTGTTCTCAGCCTGCCGGTGAATGTGAGATGCTCCAAGACAGACAATGCAGAGTGGTCGGTAAGCCCTACTTTGTTTTAACCTCTGGGGAAACTAGATGCCACATTTTACTGAATCCATGACAGGTAAAATCTAAGGAACAGACAAATGAATTTACGGATATAAGTCCAAAGGTTCAGTGTCTTTTAATATGTCTGATTATTTCTTCAGTGATTAGTTTGGTTGACCAAAAACTCATCATTCCATTCCCTTGAAAGAGGGAAATTTTATATTCTAAAACTAAAGTTGAGATGAAGCAGGAATCAGATAGCGTGAAAGCTTCAAAACACAAGGGAGCCGGCTGTGTATCTCTTCTTTTCCAAGGGCGTGCCTGGCTCTCTTCTCCACTTCCCTCGGCATCCCTACAGTTCTCCCCCAAAACGGACAACTTCAGCCACCACCCTGCCTCTGACACTCCTTTTCGCTGCAGAAGTGCAGGGGCTGAGCAGGTGTGGCTCGGTCCTGCTGTCCCGTCATGCTCTCATCGGTATTGTCTGCTCTTCTATTTTCAGATTCAAGGGATGACAGCTTTACCTCCGGATATAGAAAGACCATATAAGGCAGAACCTTTGGTGTGTGGAACCTCTTCTTCTGTGCGCAGGAGTTTCTCTCCCAAGCTGCTCCTGTGCCTCGCGGTACTTGGGAGCTCGCTGGGCAGCACATGCCTGTGGTCCTACTTCTGTGGGGCTTGGTGACCATGTTTTCTGTGATTCAAACCTGTCATTTAACATTCAGGTTAAAGACACTTGGGGCGTGAAGAGTGAGCATGGGGAGAACAGAGACTTGATTTTCACACACGCCCTGCCCCCCTGAGCGCCACCCCAGGCTCTCTTCTCCTCAGAAGCATCCAGTGAAATGTGTTGATCACCAATAAAGCAAAACCAGCCCTACCTAATACAAGCTTTATAAAAATTTGGACAAAAATCAGTGGAAGTAAAAGAGATCTTCTTTTCCTTCTGTTTTCCTCTTTATTTAAACACTCATTGTAGCCATTTCACTTTAAAATTTTTGATTTGCCTTCTGTATTTCTCTTTTAAAATATTTTCACCTTAAAGAGTGTAAAAAGATGTACTCTCCATTCCAGTTTTTTCTCTTTATTGTTCTTTTGATGTGACTTCCCAGGTGTAACAATGGTCCTTCCAGTCTTTCAGTGTTATCTGGCTCTGCCCTTTACTGTGACTTAGCCTCGGACCCCTTACCTAAGGGCTTTCTGATGATGCCTATTCCAGTCTCTTCATTTATCAAGCCTGTTGCTACTCCCTAACCACCCCAAACCCATGTCGAAGTACTCTTTCGCCCCTTCCCTGCTCAGCACTGGCCAGGTGAGTTTTTTCTTGAGCTCTGTCACTATCTAAAAAGAAAGAGGTGTGGAAAACAGAAATGGTGCCTGACTGATGGTGGGCTGAGGAGAAAGTGTGGCTGCCCACAAGCCATGCCGTGAGGGGTCCTTTAGGAGGTTCCAGGGCAAAGGCCAGATGGTGTGAGCCAGCCAACGGGCACGTGGGGAGCACCCAGGACCCCACTAACTGCTTTGGGTGTCACATGTACTGCATAATGGCTCAATTTGAGTCACAGTTGCTGTTGTAGGTTTATTTTTATATTAGTTAATAAACTAGTTTCCATAATGAAATTGTTACCCATTGAAAATCTCGTCAGTCTTTGGTTCTCTTTGTATGGTTCAGCCAAGTCTTGTTTTGCGTTGCCTCCTCATTCCTTAAACTGCTGTTGGGATCATATCAATAAACTAAATAAAACAAATTTTTGTGTGGCATCTTGTACACTCTGTGAGAGAAACAGATGATTCAATTAAGAATGTTGCATTTTTCTTCTTCATTTGTAAGCGCTTTCTCACCAGCAAAGAATGTCTTCAGTACAAACTGTATCGCCTTGTAAATAAATACTGTGCTTTGGAATGTTTACTTCTTGATTCTCAGAATTTGTCCGTTTAATGAAATGTTTGTAATATTTATGAGGCATATTTTATAGTTAATGTTCCCTCCTTTGATATGTGTTATAGCAGATTCTACAATTTTCCATCCAAGTGTTTGTGTAAGAAATACGATCATCCTCAGGGCTCCCTATTTGAAATTTCATGTTTGTTTTTACTTGAGAATTTTTGAATCTGGGATATCAAAGTAAAATGATTTCCTTTGGAAATTATGTAATATTATATTTGTTTTCACTGTTCTTGGTAAGGAAGGTGAATGTACTGGCTAGAAAATGATACACAGCTTTTGGAAGCTTGCCTTTGGAGCCAGGAGAATCTGTTTTCCAGTTGATGTTACTAAGAATACTGCTGACATTCTTCTTCTCCTAGGAACTCTCATAAATATATATAATTTTAAGAAACTAACTCTTTATTTGATATTAAAATAGGTTATCTGTTGAAAACCTGGTAGGATTCTGATTATATTCCTTAGTTCACTCTTCCATTGAGCAGACAGTCCCAAACATCCCAGGCATTTTCATTAGTGTTTTAATTACCTGTTTCCTAAGCTGTTAGGAAGCAGTGCCTGTGACCCAAGGGTGGACAGAGTCTCCTTGTCTGTGGTCCCTGGTTTGATCCTTAACGCAGGGAGAGCTGGAGAGGTGTAATGATGAAACCCATGTTCCTCGAGGTCACGTGAGGTTGAGGGTTTCCTGAGTGATCATTTTCTCTGAAGGCATCTCAGGCAATACCAAGGGTCTTACTAGTTCAAGGAATGATAGGAGAGGTGCAGTCAACAGGGGTACACATATTAAAAGCTTTGAGTTTTATCCTAATGGCTACAGAGGCCAATGATGTGTGGCAAACAGGGGGACACTTGAAAGTAGCATATAGTTGCGCTGTTAAATTTGCTCAACCAAACTCTTACTGTTGGGTACATAAGCCATTTCCAGTTTTACAATATGATAAACACTGCTGTGATGAACATTCTTCTAATTAAAAGTTCATATCTGTGTTTCCTTATAATAAGCATTACAGAATTAATTGTACAATTTTGAGAATTTTGAATTAGCAATTATAAATTTTCAGTAATTTTGATGAATATTGCCAGATGTTTTCAGCTTGTTCAAATGACTCTCAAATGGTTCAGAAAAAGAATTCTTTCTGTATCTATCTCTATTTATATCATGTCTACAGAAAGAATGATAATTCAAATATGGTAAAATGAAAACAAGGACCCTACGTGAAGGCTGTAGGAGGTTTTTTATACTATTCTTGCAACTTTTTAAGTTTGAAATTATTTCAGAATAAAAAATTACACATGCAAATGAAACACTGAAGGATCCACCCACAATAAAGTACTCCAGGCCAGTGTCTTCCCTAGACAGTAGGCCACTGTTTTTGGGTGGCAAAGAGAGAATTTAGATTGTGATTACTCCTCAGATGCCCACGGGAAAAGGGAATGATGATGACCGATAGTTTGCCAGTCCTGACTAGAGATTCAGTATATTCCCAGTTTGGCAGTCCATGCATTGAAAAATCAGGGAGTGAGGAAGGGTATTGAAAAAAGGAAGCGGTCTAGGAACTTTTTGGGAATCACTCAAAGATATGTGATTTATTTTATGTTTTTCCCCCTGATTATAAACCTGTGTAAGAATTACTATTCACTAAAGAAAATATAGAAAATGTCATGAATTTGGAAAAAAAATCTGTTCACCTTAGTACCTAGAAAATACCTGTGCTTGTGGTGCATGTACTTCTAACACATGTCTATGAACATATGTATTTGTGTGAATCCATACATCAATGTTAGCTAGCCTTAGCTTTTGCAACAGATTCCAAGATATCAGTGTTTTAACACAATAAGATTCATTTCATGTTCATTTGATAGTTGAATGTGTATGGCTCATTTGGTAATTGGCTTTCCTTAAGGTGACTGAGGGCCCCAAGATCCTGTGGCTCCATCGTCCCTAGATCTTCAGGGTCATCTGCATTCAGCCTGCTAGTGGAGAAAGAACTGACTTAAAAGTGACATAAATCACTCCCCCTTTCACTCTGTTAATTAAAATTCTGCTTAACTAGAATGCAAAACGCACTGGGAATATAATGTCTCATTGCGTGGCTACCTCCCAATGACAGTGTTATAAAAGAGAAGCTATCTCTGTGGCAATGTATGTTTTTAGCAAAACTCACTTGCACCTACTTCAGTGATTCCAAGGTTTTTGACTTTTCAAAACCATTATCAGACCAATATAGGGATATCAACTATACCTTTTGTCAAATGTTTAGAGCACTAAACAGAATCATTACTACTTATTTCACAAATCTTATTGAAAGTCTACTTAGGGCCAAGCTATGTGCTCGAGTCATGGAGTTATGATTGTGAGCAAAAAAAAAAAAAAGATTGTCTCCACCATGATGGAGATTATAGTCTCATAATAATGTTCATAGCTGAGTCAACTAAAATCTCCTATTATCAACATTTTATTGAAAAAAATGGAAGGATTCAGAATAAATGTCTGCCTTAAAAACTGAGTAGATTTAGCTTTATAAAAAGCTTATTTATCATCAAGGGTTATCACTTCTCCACAGACTATTTGTATCATGAAAGTAGTTATCCTTAATTGGATCATTTTAGTACTGCAAAATCTTGATGGACAGTTGGACTCAAATCCAGCCTAGTCAACCTGGTACTTCATGAACAGAAAATGGTCAATAGAATAGACCCATGGCAGCATCCCTTACTCCCTGGCCAGAGCTGTTTTCCATGGCAAATAGAAAGAGTCCTGGAAAATTGCTTACTAAGAACTTCACAGAGTTGTTAATATAAAGATGTGCATTTGAAAATCCAGAAGTTACACGATATGGAACAGCTCCCAAACTCATTGACCATTGTGCCATGTTGCAGTGGAGCAACGTTCCCCATGGAACAAGCTTCAGCCTGTACGACTTTGCCAGCAATGCACGTCCAGGTTTCTGTAACAAGTTTTCAGCCACTGCAAAGCACAGTCCAACAAACACTGGCGTGCCTCTTGTGTGAATTGATCTATACTTTCTTTGCTATTCTATTTTGCCAATGAAACAGTATTTTCTAGTAATAAAAATAAACTATAAATCAAAATATAATGATATGAATTAAAACATTTTTATTAATCTAGAATTAGTATAGCAGAGAGAGCAAAGAAAAGGGAATTTGCCTTTTTTTGAAGAAGAATATAGTAAAATGAATTATATAGCATGAATAAGTTATTTGAAAAATATTGACAAGTAAGGCTATATATCTTTGGGAAGTTTCAGACCTACAGACACAGATAAATGATGCAGAGTTGATGTAATGCTCCCCAAAATTGGAAATTGGGAATAATGTACAAATGTAGCGTGCAAGCTTGAATTGAGCCAAGTTCTCCCTTACATTTTTAAATAACTGCATTAAATATTGACCAAACCAAATAATGCCATACAATTACATTATGCTTTGGAATGTGCAAAGAGCTCTCACAGTATTTGTTATTTAATACTTAAAACTCTTCACAAGTGAATACTTGCATTCAGAAAAACTAAGCAGACAGCATGTGTACAGGGGACCTAAGTTTTAATCACTTTACAAACTACATGTGTATAAACTAGATTTAAATTACTTGACTTATTAAGCCACAGTTTTCCCATCAGTAAAGTAGGGATCATAATTTCTATCCTTACAGAGCTGCTTGTGGATTAAATGTGATAATGAAGTTACAGCACCTGGCTCACTGACCTGCCGATACCAGTGTTCTTCCTCCCTTGGCAAGATCTCGCAGGTAAGGCTCGTAACACCTGACAACAGATGCAGATTTTTTTTTCTACCTTTTAGACATAATCAACTGAAATGTGACTTCAACAGAACCACTTTTGCTGAATGAATGGCACTTAATCAAATGAATATTAATTAGGTCTAGTATTTTCAATACTGGCTACTTGTTATGTCTTATGTTTCTGAAGAGGAAAAACATTGTACTTTACTCTTGTTTTTCCTTCGAAATAATCTGTTCTTATTGAAACTAATGCTACTTGAGAATTAAAATGAACCAGTCCACCTTTCTTGTCTTTTACATGATTAGTTTTTCATGTGAAGAGCTCTAAGATTCTGCTGTTTTTTTATTGCTTCCTGAGCCTTTTTCTTCCACATTTATTATGGTATCTTCACTTCATCCTGAGGAAAGTGTTCCATAACTTGTCTTCTCTATATATGTGGAAAAACAGACTCTTCCAAATAATCCTACTAAACATAATGGCATTCTGTTAAGCAAAAATAAGCAAAGTCGTGGGAAATAAAAGGGGTGGGAGAGGTATCGCTTTTAAACATGGAAAGTGTTCCTCTCGATTAACCACCAGAGGGCGTTCTGTGTACGTGGTTGCAAATCCTGCAAATGCGTGAGCAGGGCTTGGACATACACATCTAACTGCCCTGCCCCTTCACATCTCAGGCTCTAACCACTTGTTTCCCTATTATGTTTATTGGTGCTAATTCTAAATCCAAGGACCTGAATTTCAAACTTTCTTCTTGAAGGTTTAGCTCTAAAATCAATCTGAAGTCTCTTTACTTTTTACTTTGATCATTCTAAGCTTCTTTTTAAAATTTCCAAGTTTTCTTTGGCTGTAGCTCCTGTTTTATACTTCACCTTCTGTTCTGGGATATACACCTTTAATTTTCTGTTTTCTTATTTCTCACTTTTTTGTTTTGTTTTTTAATTTAATCTCCACTTTTAATTCTGCTCTAACCATCTTAATTGCTGCTTCCCAATCTCTTTATTATTCAGTCCATTAATTCTTTGTTTTTAGAAAATATGTTTCTTTACACTAATAACAGCTTGAAGCATTTAAGCAGAATCATGAGCAGTGATGAGAACATACTTTGTAAACAAGAAAAAGTGGAGGAGTCTTCTGCCAGAGCTCTGCCTGTACATCCACCGGCTCCCTGTAAACGATTTCCAGGACAGATGAGGACAGTTTT